CTTTTACAAGTATAGTCCTACCAATCCGTCATTCTAAAAGACCTATTTTGATCCTATCACCATACAACTGACTCTCATTCCTTCCACATGTTTGACGAAGACCTTCCCCAACAAACTCTTCGTGAAAGGATCAGCTAGGTTGTCCTCTGATGCAATCTTGGGAACATCAACATCTCCTCTACCAACTATATCTCGTATCAAATGGTACTTGCGCTCTATGTGTGTACTTGTTCTATGGGTCGTGGTTCCCTTGAGTTCGCTACTGCTCCACTGTTATCACAGTACATGATGATACAATGTGGCAAACTCGGAATCAACTCTAAGTTTACTAAGAAGTTTATGAGCCATACTGCCTCTATCGCTGCCTCTGAGGCTGCTATGTACTCGGCTTCCATGGTGGAGTATGCCACGTATTTCTGCTTAGCACTCCTCTATGAAATGGCTCAACCTCCCAAGGTAAAAACATAACCAGAGGTTGACTTACTCTCGTCCATGTCTGACTAGAAATTGGAATTACTATAACCCAGTGGTAACAAGTTGTCTGCACGGTAAACTAACATGTACTCCTTAGTCCTTCTCAAGTAGTTGACTATATGTTTCACTGCAGACCAATGTTCCTGTCTCGGATTACTTTGATATCTAGTTACAATGCCAACGTCATAGCTAATATTCGGTCTCGTACACAGCATAACATACATATGGCTTCTTACCAGCGAAGCATAGGGAACTGTCTTCATGTCTTCTATCTCTTGAGACGTCTTAGGAGACATCTCCTTGGAAAAACTTATTCCACTTCTGAAAGGTAACATACCTTTCTTGGAATCCTGCATGCTGAATCTAGCTAAGACAGTATCTATGTGTAAAGACTGGGATAAGCACAACATTCTCTTCTTACGTTCTCGAATGACCCTAATACAAAAAATGTGTCATGCTTCACCTAAGTCCTTCATATCAAACTGCTTAGACAACCACAACTTTACGTCTGATAACTCCTTCTTACTGTTTCCAATAAGAAGTATGTCATGTACATAAAGCACAAGAAACACCATCACGCTGCCACTGATTTTCTTGTACACACAGTGCTCATCCGGACATTGAGTGAACTCGTACGACTGATCACCTTATCGAACTGGATATTCCAAGATCTTAAAACTTACTTCAGTCCATAAATAGATTAATGAAGCTTACACACTAGATGTTAACATTCCTTAGCAATGAATCCCTCTAGTTGCTGCATATATTGTCCTCTTGAAGGTTCCCGTTAAGGGAAGTCGTCTGA